TGCCAGGATCAAATGGCTTCCGCGTCCATTACATATTTTCATTGTAGACACAAAGAAATAAGAAACAACATTAAAATAATGTGCAACACTCAGCCAGTCACTAGAAATAAAACAAGCATTTTTCTCTCAAAATCTATTTCTCTAAGCAAACCCATTACAAAATGATTTCAATATTTTTTGAATTATATATTTAAGACTATTCCTCCAGAAAGCTTATGTCTCATGTAAATACAGTAGACTAAAAAGATCAATATTTATAATGATTGTATACCATTTGCATTATCAACATTCACCTAGCAATGGAGTGTGACAACTATAAAGAAAACTGAGAGAATAAACATCAGAATTAACTGAGGTCAAGAATTAGCAATGAGAAAGGGAAAAAAAAAAGGTTCAACTACTCTTGTTAAAATCACAGAAAATGTGTTACGCGATAGACACATAATCTTTAGACTCTAATCACTAACTCACCTGAAGAATGCGCTTAATGTGCTGTCTCTGAAGATTGTCGCCCTCCGTACATTCTTTAATACCATGAGGATAACAAATAAGCTGCAATAATTTCTGTGCTTGCATATTTGAAAGCACAGGGTCCAATATAAGCTCTTTGTCTGTGCACAATCTTTCAGGTTCTTTTAGGCAATGTTCTCCTACCCATTCCTAAAAAAAAAAAAAAAAAAAAAAAAAAATCAGCAGTTAGGTTGATAGGCAGAGATTTCCCTTGTGTGAATGTAACATGCACTAAAACATGATACACAGATAAAGCAGACAGAAATCTAATTTTAAAAAATTACATGAAAAAAGTAGAGGGAATTTTTTTTTTTTTTTTTACTTTCTGGTATTGTGACTTCTTAAAAATACAAAGCAGGGCATTGGTTTAAAAAGTCTGAAGAGGGGTGCCTGGGTGGCTCAGGTGGTAAAGTGTCCAACTTCGGCTCAGGTCATGATCTCACGGTTCATGGATTCGAGTCCTGCATGGGCTCTGTGCTGACATCTCAGAGCCTGGAGCCTGTTTCAGATTCTGTGTCTCCCTCTCTCTCTGCCCCTCTCCTGTTCACACACTGTCTCTCAAAAATAAATAAATGTAAAAAAAAAATTTTTTTTTTTAAATCTGAAGAACAGATATGCAAATAAGGAAAGAAAAGAAAGCTAAAGAGAGTAATGAACATTGGTGCGCATTCTCAACTGGAAAATAGAGCCTTACTCTAGGTATTGTTTTGTAATCATTTCCTATAACTTGGCATATAATGGTAATGATTCTATATTAAAACATGTCTTCATTTTTATATAATGCATACTATATCCCACTGCATAAAATATAGTACAACACTTAGAAAACAGACATTTTTTTATACTATGGTAAACATGTGTGCACATCTGCTTTCTACACAATCATTTTCTCAGGATAATTTCATAAAAGTACAATTGTTGGGTCAAGGAGTATACCAAAATTTAAGACGATAAATGCATATGGCCAACTGCCCTCCATAGAGTTTCAACCAGTTTGAACACTTATCACTTTTTCTTCATCATTGTTTTAAAAGCAAACTCTTATACTAGATGGGTAAGAAATCATCAACAGAGTCCAGTTTGAACCCAGGTCTGTTTCAGAGGAAGGCTGTTTCTTAACTATACCGGTAATTCAATACTGAGTGTCTATTAAAGTCACCTATGGAGCTTGCTAAAATTCCATTGCCCAGGCTCCAACAAATAAATATCTGATGGTGGTACCCATTAAACAAACATTAAAACTGTCTGACCCTTGGTGATTCTGGTGGACACTCATAGTGGAACCAATAAACAACTGCTTCTCATTATCTATAAAACTATGTAGCAAACTTTTAACATAGTTGCAATATGCCCTAATAAAAACACGACCCTGTTAACATCTCCACTAAAATGGAAAATAGTATATATGGTATACTATACTTCTTACAAGAAAAGATAAATTAAAAGAAAAAAAAAAGGAAGATAAATCAGAAAATAAGAACACTGATCACCCGGGGCAGGAAAAAACCCAGGATAGAAGAGACAACAGACGAAGGACATATCACTAAGTACACCTTTTTATACAGTTGACTTGTAGATGCATGTTCTTCTAAAGATGGAGTTGAGGTGGGGAGAAAAAAATGGGAATCTAAACTGAATGCAAACAGAAACAAATGCAATTCGTTCTATTTCAAATGAGTAACATATCCATATTGAAGGAGAAAGTTCAAAAAACTTTTTAACACAATACTATAAACCTTGAGGGAAAAAAGAAATACCAACAAATCTTCAACTCCTTTTACGTTTTTCCTAGTGGTATAGGTGTAGCAATTCTGAAACCATTCCAGGTGTAGTGTAGAATTAAGCAAATGAGTAAATGGTTGATGTTACTGGAAAAGACAAAATTAATACGGAATGGGGGAATGCAAAGAACTAAGTGGAGTTACTAATTCTAGACATATCAGTATGAACTCAAGAATATACACACACACATTTATGTATACGGATATATTTCCTCCTAACTCTGCCTGCTGAAAGGGTCCAGAGGCAACGAACATACGTTGCCCATAGTAATGAGCACCACAGTGTCCATATCTTGGCTTCTAAATACCATACTTGATTAACTAGAATGAGAGTTCCTTGGAGGAATGATTAATTCCAGGTATGGGACAGGGAAAGTACAATAGGGGTCAGGAACTAAGAAAATATTTGGTGGAGGGCAAGAGGGAGATGGAGACATGTCAAAATAACTTAAAAGCCAGGATGAAAAGGTTCCACTGGAAAAAGCTGGGACAATATGAACATGAAAATAGCTAAGGACAGTGTATTATAATACATATGGATAATAAATAAGAATAATGAGGGTATGCTTTCCTTAGAATAGAATGCAAACTGTTAACTGTAGAGGAGCTGTGGGAAAAAAAAAAAAACCACCATTTTGCAGCATGTAAAGACTGGTAAAGACTGGTTTGGGGAAGAATGAAAATGAATGATAGATGTGGTGGAGTTTGATGAGGGGCAAAATATTTGTATTGTCTCACAGTGTCTCCCCAAAGACTGTTTACTGATTGCAAGGGGGGGGAAAAAACCACATAGCAGAGAAATCTCGAAACCATACAATGGAGACACCGTGATCAAACTGATTGCTGCCAGCGATGTGCAAATGGACATTGTGTGACTTCAAGTGTGATTACCTGAGAACACAACATTACTTCTGTATCATTTTGGCCAAGAAGGCATAATCTAACTAATGTATGGGAAATTTCAGACAAATCCAACATTATTGGGACAAATGACAAAACTGAATGTGACCTACAGGTGAGAAAAAAATTACTGTTCCAAAAGCTAAATGTTCTATGTTTAAAAATTTTTTTTAAATATTTATTTATTTTTGAGAGAGAGAGACAGCCATGAGCATGGGAAGAACACAGAGACAGGGAGACACAGAAGTCAAAGTGGGCTCCAGGCTCCGTGCTGTCCGCACAGAGCCCGACATGAGACTCAAACTCACGAACCGTGAGATCATGACCTGAGCCGAAGGCGGATGCTTAACTGACTGAGCCATCCAGGCACCCCTAAATTACCTGACTTTTGATGACTGCATTTGGTTCTATTATAAGTAAACACTGAAATATTAAAGACTCAAGATTAATAATATATGCCATCTACTCTCAAAAGCTTCAGCAAAATCTTAGAAAGTATATGCATCCACATTCACAAATAGAATCATAAAGCAAATGTGGAAAAATGTAAAAAATTGGTGAATCTGTATACAAGGTATACACCAGAGTTCTTTACTATTATTGCAACTCTACAACAAATCTGAATTTTTTGCCAAACAAAGTTAGCAGGAAGAAAAGGACCAACAATGTGCAAGCTTCCTATAACAGTGAGCATCTCCACAAAAACAATTATATATTCATAGATCAAGTCAAATTAAAACTGAAAAATACCTGTTGACAGATAGTCCTCAGTACATATCTAGCATATTCTCTTAAATTGGCAGTTTCTATGGAAATGCTTTTCCCACAGGATTTTGAATTTTGTGAAGCAGTCCAGATATCATCAGCATTCCCATCACGCCGTAAACCTCTCATGGTGAAGTCATCATTCTTTAAAGAGCTGACATTGTTATTGCCAATTTTGGCATCTCCTAAATAATAGAATCACAAAAGCAAAATCACGGAAGTTCCAAATATTGCCAAATACTTGAGAAGTTAATGAAGCAAGCCTTCGGGGATTTAAAATATGTGACTGGCATCTTTATGGCATAGCCCAATGTTCAGCAAGAAAGAGAATCGATCAGGAGAATAAATGCAAGGACCCAGAGAAGTTTCAATACGCACGAGAAAAAAAAGGGAAATGCAAGACTTACTCCTTATTTTGTTTACAGAATTAAGTACGCAATCACCAAATAAAAAGGCCATTATGAATCATATTTAATAATCATAGAACATTGATTTCACCAATATTTCAAGCATGAATGTATTCAATATTCAAATTCATTTCACTTATAGACAAGGAAAAAATGGGTTACTCACCCTTCTAGGTGTCCCTTTTCCATTTCTTCTCTTACAATGACTTATTTTCTATCCATAGGTCAAGAGAAAAGTTTTGCCTTAGCCCACCTTACTATCAACTTCTTGACAAGAGAGATTTATTTCCCTGGGAATGGAAAAGGGCAATGCATACTAAGGAAGCCCTAAAACATAGGGCATTCATTGAATAACCCAAGTCTCTCACTTTCCTCTCTGTAAACATCCAAATGAGAAAACCTCACCAGATCAACCTCTAATTTACTGAGTCAAATGGAACTAAGGAAAGGTTTCCTTCATAGCAAAGTTCCTGGGGGACAAAACGGAGAATGTGTGAAAGGCTAGAATTAAGAAATCTTCTCTAGCCATGACAGACAAATCACTATTCTATTTTAAAAGTGAGAGAATAATATAATTTGGTAGCGAAGACTGCCAAATGACAACAGAGCCTCTAAACTTTCACCTGTTTACCCACAGGGATCATAAGCTTTGAACAAGAAAATTTCCTGGAAACAACAAATGAATTCAGATGAGTCCCTTACTGCCCACTGTGAGTAAAACGAAGCCCAGGTCAGTGCAAAAAGCTTTTTACAACCCACAGGTCAACCAAGAAAAAGTTTTGACTCTGCTGAAAAATTTGCAAAATCAGAATGGATTAGTAAGTATTTATTTATAAAATGGTAAGAGGAGGGGAGGAATAAGCAATAATTTTCAAGTCATCAATATCTGATTATATGTTATCATACATTCCTTATTAAAATATACAAGAGTTTATTTAATTCAACAGAAGTCCTTGGGAGGAATAAGTAATAATTTTCAAGTCATCAATATCTGATTATATGTAATCATACATTCCTTATTAAAATTCACAAGAGTTTATTTAATTCAACAGAGGTCCCTGGGAGCTGAAAGATGTGTACCAAAATTTAGCATGCTTTCTCCAATGTTTGGTGAAATAAAACAACTATTTCTATACCTTAAGTTAAAACTACTACATAAATTAGAAACCACTTGCTATATAACAGTTTTATCACCCAAACTCAAAATAGATCTTGATGGACAGGACTTGCAAGAACACTGGTAAGAATAGGGTGAGGTAGATAAACTAAAACTTACATAAAAACAAAATCAAAGAAACAAACACCTCTGCCTAGGAAATCCTCATTCAGATTCTCATTTAGTTTAGCTGTTAGGATGACAGAGAAGGTATAGGAGGCTGTTCTAGAACCTTCCGTAACTGTACAGATAACAGAACAAATAGAAAAGAGTGTTCAGTGACTACTCGGTCCAAGGCTCTGCTGACATCCAAATGACCTGATCCTGGCTTCTCAGACCTGAATCATCCTCTGTCTATTAAGAACGGAGGTCGATTAAAAAGGTCAAGGAGAGCCAAACAAAGAACTGATTATTATGCATGGATATTAAAATACAATTATGTGACTCTTTATAAATGTTGGCAAATTTTAGTGGAACTAGACCACTCCTGCAAACAAAGGAGCAGGTGCCTAGATTGCGCTCATCTTGGTTTCTGCCATTCAATGTCTATCCATTCTGCATTCACACTTCCTATATTAGTTTGTTGAAAAGCTACAATTTCAAAACCTACTATCTAGTTTCTCTGATGGGTGTTAGAGATAACACGGGGCGGGGGGGGGGGGGGGGGGGGGGGGGTAAAGGGAAGC